CTGTTTCAAATGGGGACACTTAAAGAACTATGTTTAAAGCAGTAACAACCCCACAGCACCCACCTTTTTATACAAGTGCTGAGCCAACCAAATACTACACACTGAGAAACAGCCTACAGATACTACAAATACTGCATGGCTAATATAAACTGGTGAGATTAAATGCATACCGGAGACTACTGGACTTCTCTCAGCAATCACAGGTCCATCGGGGTCCCTTTAAGGTACATTTAGAGCCAGTTGTAGAAAAGGTACTTTACTGAAGTATAAGCAGCAATAGAAAGAAAGTCACTTTCGGCTTTTCCCATTTAGGAGTCACCACAGCAAATCGTCACACTGACGACTCGCATGTTGACATTTGGCATGTGTTTTACACCAGATGCCCTTCCTGACGCAACCTGGATTCGAACCCAGGGCACCGGGGCGATAGCACTGCACTTTAACCACTAGTACAGGTAGCAATGCAACAGTGTAAAAATACTCTAGGTAGCAATGCAACATTGTAAAAATACTCTGTTATGAGTAAAGGTCCTGCATTTAAAATGCTATTTAAATAAAAATACAAAAGTAGTAGCATCAAAACATACTTCAGGTACTAAAAGTACAATGCACAATGACACATTTCACATTCCTGTCATGTAATTGCCTTATAATTACTGATGCATTACTGTGTACATCACATTTAATGTAACAGCTGGTAAAGGGGGAGCTAGTTTTAACTAGCTTATGGGCAGCTTGTGTGTTTTCCATCATAGCTCAGTGAGTTATACAGCGTTTTGTATTAATCTGGTTCTGAAAGATAACTAGTAACTAAAGTTATAAAATATAATAACAATTACATTTGACTCCAAAATGTAGTGAAGTCAAAATATGAAGCAATAGAAAAAGAAAATCTTCAAGTATAAATACCTCAAAATTGTACTTAAGTACAATACTTGAGTAAATGTACTTAGTTACTTTCCAGTATTGTTTAGAATAGAAAAAATGTGATACATCATGAGTTAACTATGGTCAGTCATGCGACTAAATATTTTGACTGACGGCGCTAGTAGAAATGCATGTTGATGCCAGTTTTCTTACACGTTTTTATTTGTGTGACTGTGCAATAAAAGCACATCAGACAAAGACTGTGAAGTCATGCTAAAAGTCATAAAACCTTTTAACCTCTGCTACTGGACTGTCATCTGCATTTGATTAACCTGATTGGGGTGTGTATGTGAGTACGTTATAGTCCAAGATGCTTCTTGGTCTTGTATGAACAAGCAGCTTCCTTCCAAAGTAACTGATTTGTGTGCAAACATCAGCACCAACAACTAAGGATAACACAGCCTGCCAACAAACACATCAAAGACACAAGCTCAAACCAACTCTGCAGTCCCACAGAACCTATTTTTGGCTACTTATGTTGAAACAGGGTCAAGCTGCACATTTGAGATCTTGATTCTAAAACCTCCCCCTCTGGTTGAATCTTCTCAAAGTTTCTCTGCTGGATCCAGTCCCTGTCAGCTGAGGATATGGACCTAACAAGTGCAGAGAGTCTCTCTTCTTTGTAATGATGCAAAGGTACCAACTGCCATATGGGCCTGGAAGTCAATGATGCTTGCAAGAACATTTGTCCTATGAACTGATCATAAGAATCATTTTCCCCAACCTCCCATGGGTTCCATCTATTTTACAGGTCATTTCCTCAGCACTTACCCACAGCAAAATAGTTTGCTTCGGTGCATTTTTGTACAAAATTCATTGCAAGTCATACTGTCCGATTATAAGAGCACCATGGGTTGTAAATAAAAATCACCTGACTGCAACCAGCTTTTTTACTGAACACTGTTTCAGTAACCTGTTATCCAACAAGGTTAGTGGCAAAACAAATCTAGTTTTTGTTACTTTGTTTAGTCATGATGGATGTGTGCATTCTTTGTCCCCATCTCTGACATTCACACTAACAAAAACACAAATTTGGATTACATTCTAACTCCTAACAAACAATATCACTGTTGACTTTAAAGAGAACTGAATTTTTAGGCCATCTCTGTGTACCCGAGTTCACGTCCTGAATCTCACCTTCCCACACAAATCATACTAAGTAAATATCTGAGCATTACATTAAATCACTCCACCTACACTTGGTGTTCCAACACAACAAGTTCAGAAGTTCTGGGTTCAGAAGTTTGGGGTTGCCTCCATTTTCCCACTTTTTATTGACATGTAAGCAGCTAAACTGCCAGAGGCAAAACAAACAACAAACGTCACCAAAAAATAAAAATGCAGGTAAATTTCAAATAAAGCAGGCCTTTTTCAGAGATCAAGTAACAGGTTAACTTGCATCTTTTTTGCAGCAGCAGAAGTAAATGAAGCCTTGGAAATGGATGCAAATGCTTCCTACAGGTGTCTCAGCTTTTGTTGATGACTAACAACAACAAATTGTCTCTGTACAAAAGGCAGTGTTGGAAAAGACTATGTTACTATACCCTCTGAAGCATTATCTGGAAAAAGGCCAAAAAGAAAGGAAGTCAAGCCTTACAGGGTTTCATCCTATAGTAGGATAGTAAGCCAAAAAACACCTCCAGGCTTTGTAGAAGAAAAGAACAAGACGGCTGGCTTCAATGATGGAATGGCAGCACAGAATTTTAACACATGGGAACATCTGCAACAGTGCTGTCTGTGCCAACTATATTTGATTTCAGGTATAGATAGAATGCCTCAAGTACATTCAACAGCTTTTGAACCACACTGATAACTGGAAAACAAAGGTGACCCCAAACTTTTGAACAGTAGGGTAGAGCAAACTGTTATTATGGTCAGCACATTCAGACTGCAGCCAAAAGTATTAACATGACAAACAGGACAGGTGAGACAAACTGCCCTGATCCAGAGCATTTGATGTTGAAAAAAAAAAGGAACAGAAATGCGCATACCTCCCCACTGAAAGCTAGGCTGACACTGACGCTCACTCTGCTTTCACCATAAGCAACAGGAAGCTCTCTCACTGCTATCAGGAGGAGATAAGTGAAGCCCTTCGATTGCCTCATCACACAGCGGGTTTTATCAACCCATATTGCATCACTACTCAGCATTCACATGTATAACTCACTGCCAAGAAAGGGACTCTCCTTAGAGAACAGAGCGAGCTGCTGAGAGTAACGCCAGTTTCTCCAACACTTCGAACAGAAACTTGCTCATGGATTTTCCTCCTCTCTCAAACAGCTGGCAGGCTTGCAAAGTGGTTTTAGTGGTGGATAGCCAATATTGCTGTCCTAATTCTTTGAAATGAGCTAAGCAATGAGTATAACTTTTCTGGGGGGAATAACTCCCAAATCTCTTCTCTTTGTACACCAAACACATGAAATTCTATTATGTCCATTATTAGAGCTGACATAACTACTCATTTTACCGATAGCAGATAGAAATATGAACTGAATTTTAATGACTGCTGGGTAGCTTATGAATTTCCCACTGATGATCAATAAAGATATATGATTATAGTGCATTTTGTTTTAATAATTTGATTCTGAAAAGGACAAGTAGACCCAAACCATGCCAGCATGTGCATTTCTTGTTTCTCCACTCATTTTTCAAATATTTTATTAATTAGTCACCCATCTCTGTATGACATAGAGATAAGTTTTATAAAGACTACATTTTCAGATTTCAGTACAAGACATGTAGCAGAGCAACACCTTGCAGGGACAGTGCCTCCATCAGTGTGTGTGAGTTGGCACCGTAGATGGCTTCCTCGGTTTTGTACCAGAGACAAATTCCTTGTGTGTGTGTGTGTGTGTGTGTGTGTGTGTGTGTGTGTGTGTAACACACCTGGCCAATAAAAGTGATTATCATTATCATCATCATTCTTACCAGAGCTAAAGCAGAAAACTAGAGAAGCAGCAATGCACGTCTCAGCTTGTATTAATTCATGTTACAAACCTCATCAACAAAATGATAATGACTTAACAACTATGGCTAGTGAGGGCATCCAAATGTGGTTACTGTCCAATAAACAGGATGCTTAGTGGAGTGGGTCTATCACACAATCTATCATGGATCCATCTTAATATAAGGTAATCTGAACAGTGATGTTTATCTGACCGGGATGACAGACCAGAATAGAAATGTCTTGCTCCAAGGACTAAACTCGCATCCAAACTAATGGTCTAGTAATGATATAAGAAAATCTAGGTCGCATCGAAGTGTCCTTGGGCAAGACAGTGAACTGCCCAAGTTGCCCCTGCATCGCTGTGCGTATGCAGACAGCGGCCCGGGGCCCTCGGTTCCTAACAAAATTTCGTTGTATGCGTCACAATGTTACAATGACAATAAAATAAAGCTTCTTCTTCTTCTTTATCACACCTCACAAAAATTCACGAGTCACAATTTGTATCTTCAGGACAATCAACCTGTCTGATGGCGGGGTGTGAAGGTCTGAACGGAACAGCTGTGTGTGCTTTGACCATATGTTTTGACTGTAACAAGACACATTTTAACAAACTTGCCAAGTCACTAAACTTAACCGCAGATAAATAGTCTTTTAATACCAGCACTTGTAACGAAGAGACAGGTGACAACCTAAAAAAAAGTTATGACAAATTGTGTGCTACTTGACAGCTATTCCATCATTTTAGTTCCAGTTAGGTTTATTATTCCGCTGAGTAATGTTCATCTCTTAAAGTTAACCAGGTTAAGTTAGCTAATGTTACCTAACCAACGTTAGGTTAGCTAGCTAACAAACCGCTTAGCTCATTCGGTAGGGAAGAGGAAGACCTTTTACCAACAGCCGTGAGGGATGGCAGGCAGCCCACACCTTATATTTTCCCCATTCTGCTATCTAGTCCGGTTAGCAGCCGAGCTAAATGCCGTGTAATTGGGTCTACCGGGAGCTAACATCCCTGGAGCTAACATATCTGCGTGTGCGGCATCCGAAAACAAGCTAGTGCTGTTTAGCTTGATGAGCTAGTGAGCTTTCCCTGACCGGTTAATGCACGCACACACACTTTTCAGCCTACCTGTGATCACCGCTGCGACCCAGAAGATGCCCCGTTAATTCCGTCACCTGTGTACCACGAACCGTGCCGTGCCAAAAAAAAAAAATCAAATTCCACAGAAAGTGAAGGAGAGATACTTTCAGTCCAATCGCTTCAACCACTGCTGCTGAATGGCTGCTACTCGCAGACTCAACCAAACTTCCACCTTAGCAACGGACCGCCCCCGCGACACCTGATTGGCCGAAGCGTGCCGATCGGGAGGTGATCGATAGGTGAAAGCGCAACCTGGATTAAACTGCGCTTTCGATACAACTCATCCAGAGCAGAACAGGTTAAAGACTTTGTACCTGAAGGGAACAACGTGCTTTCTCCTTTTCTGTTTGTCAAACAATTTTAACTAAATCACTTAAAATCGAGGGTGGATTACCTGAGAGGACAGCTTGGCACAGGGCCAGGGGCCCAAGAGGTTAGGGGCCTCGGTTTGTGTATTTGCATGAAGTGACATATTTGAAAGTCATAGAGCTCAATTATACAAAAACAAAGAGACACAAAACAACTATAAAGATAAAAATGACTATAAAGATACACAAAATTACTTCAGAGATGAAAAATTACCATTAAAAGACACAAAGGTCTTTTAAAACATCCATAAAACATCTCAACATTTTTTCAAAATATGAAAAAAATGACCATAAAACTGATCACACAAAGAGGCAAATTATTATTATTTATAGTACTATTACTGGATGTTACTTTTGTAAGTTTTATCCACATTACAGTGTATGGAGTTTAATCCAGAACAATTCATCAAATTTTATGCTTAAAGTGACATTAAGTTGATCTTTGTAATACTTGTAATACACCAAGTAGTCAAAAACTAAAGCTGTAAAAAACGCACAAAGGTCGAGGTATAAATAGCATACAGTATAATGTAATCCTAAAGCAAAGTACAAGCATCTACTGTAAAAAGTCCCCATATGTGTAGAGTGTGTCGGTCGGTGTAGTGGGCTGACCAATTCTTCACTATATATTTTCTGCCTCATTTGCATGCAAATAAGCCCTGACAGTGAAGGAACTGGTGAAACCACATCGCTTCACAGCGAATTTACATGATGCCACAGTCTTTATGACCCCCACATTTTCATATGAATGATCTGAAAAGTTGTGTCAGGTCTTGAGCTACATGACTTGCACTCATTATGTTTAAAACTCACCTGGCTTTAATTTATTTTTATTTTTTATTTGTTTGTTTTTTTATTTATTTTTGTAGTATTGTTACATGTCCAGGCATTTCAAAGCAACAGGATGATTCATGTCATGTTCGCCACAAATCCGCCCACCCCTGTGATGAAACCTCGGCCAGGAGTTTATCAGCATTAAGTAGCATTCCTTGCATAGTTCTGAGGTCTACTGAGCTGCAGTCTGGCACATTTTATGGCATGAAAGGTTACAAAAAAGCAGAGAAAAACAAAGTTGTCAAGCCTGTTATGCTGATGGTTGTCATGTCACCAGCTGTGAAAGTCAGTTCACTTCAATTCATATTCAAGACATTCAAAACATTTGTCACAGAAACAGTGGGGACAAAACCATACAGAATTTTATGTTTGTAAAAAAAAAAAAAAAGTACGTTTGAGATCAGTTTCAGATTTAAGTGTATTTATGTTTTATTATTTTACATAAGTTTGCAATAAAGACAAACAAAAACAAGCAAACAAACAAAAATGTGTTTATTGCATGAGTTGTGAATGAACTAATAATAATCTAATTAATAAAAATCTAACCACTGTATAAGTATTACACATTTAGAATAAACACACATTAGTATTTTTACATCAGAATGTTTATTTAGGAGCATCTCAGTCTCTGACTTCCTTCACACCTAATAATTTTGCTTCCCATTTTCGCTTCCACTTTTCTTTATGACTCCTGCTGTTACACGAGTTTACCCATCTACCTGTGAGCCTTTCACTTAACTGTTAGGGTGTTCTGCCCCCTTGTGGCCAGGGTGTGTAATTTCAGAAATGTGACTGATGAAGCTCCTTCATACTTTTCACGTGGTTCATCTACACAGGTGTGTTCATTTACTGTGCTTAATTAGACCTCTCCTTAGGACTGTAAAGCATCTACATTAACTTTGTCACCTCATATGCTAATTGTTTATAATCAGCAAGATATTTTCTGGAGTTTCATGAGCTATCATTTGTGAATACATAACACCGGAGAAACAGCTTTAATTTCTAAGGTACCACTTATAAAGGAGAAAATGTTAATGAAAATACACTCAGTACACACTTTATTATATTGTACAGATGTAAAATTAAGATGTCACTATGTGTTGGTTTCTCTACAACAGTTCTCTGTCAACTTCTGCAGTCCACATGTTGAAGTGTCCTTGGGCAAGACACTGAACCCCCAAGTTGTCATCGATGCTTGAAATACCTACAGGTAGCATGTTAGCATGCTGTTGACATTTAGGGTGTATCACTGAGCATAATATTTTAATGTTAGTGCAGTAACGTGCTATGCTCCTATGCAACATTAAAGCATATTATAGTATAGCTTTTAGTAATGTGAAATATCTACACTTTGTATGTTAGCATACTATATGTATTCATCTGTAAGTGAGCTCTGAGGCCGACATATTTAATATTTATTTCTGGAGTTTTGCTGCCATGAACTGAAGTTTTGGACACGTTCGAAATTGTGACCCATTGGTAGCAGCAAATTAAAGGTCGGAGAATAACCTACTGAAAGACATTGGCCTGTACATGTTTGTATCAAATTCCATGGCAGGCAGTGTAACAGATATTCAAATATTTAACTGTGGTCTGAACAGGTGGGCCTGCATTTGAACTTCACTGCTACAATATTAGACGTTTAAAACATCTTACAGTGGATGCACTTTTAACTATTTAGTTGTGATGAGTTAGAATTTCAGGCAAAAGTGTATTTGTAGTTTAAACTGATCAAACTAATGCAATAATACCCTGAGTCTGATCAGATCCCAAGAAACTACTCTTTGCAATTTTACTAAACACTATAAACCAGACTATTACAATATAGAATAGAGCAATAATTTCTTTTACACGTTTTATTTTTTAAACATTTATAGTACTTTCCACAAAACCCAAACCACTGTCAGCTTCAAATATTTACATAAAACTTTGCAGAGAGGAAAAAAAAACAAAACATTCTTTGGGTCTGACCATGCAAAACAATAAATAATGTTCCTGACAGTCTGCATGATGCTTTCAACACTGCTATTCAACAATAAAAAATAAAAAAAGAGAAACAGATTTTAGTTGGAAACACAGAAAGCTGCCCCGGTCTACAAGGTCATCAGACATGCCTCAACCTACGACCAGGCAACAAGCAGTGACTCTGACTCAGAGCAGGTCAGGTGCACCTCAGCACATTTGCTACAGTACAGTATGCACTCACTCGTTCTGAGGAAATTGACACTATTCCAAATTTAAACAAATTGCTGACCAGAATAGATACAGAAATTAAAATGTGAGATGTTCAACAATTTTCAGTGAAAAGCATATATCATGTAGAAGAACTGCGGCATCCTCGATGGATAAAGCACTGTACACAAAAGACCTTGGATGTTTTGCTCTACAAGGCCTTCAAATGTTTTCAGTGATGCTCTTGCCACCAAGACAAAATGAACAGGAGCTTGAAGGCGACATCACAAAAATACTGTTCTCACTCCTTTCTTCTCTCAGCATGGCGACACAGTGTGCAGATGTGACCCCTGAGTCCTTCTGCAGGTCCAGAATCTGCTCCTCTCCTCCCTCTCCCTCCCTCTCCCTCTCCCTGTCAGCTGTGGCTCAGGTGATAACCTGTGGCTCCCAGGACTGGCTAGCCAACTGGGGGCGACACTGTGAGATGACCGGAGGACCAGGTGCGATCTGACTGTCCAGACAGAGGCCGCTGACCATGTGCTGCAGAGCTGCACCTTTTGGCTTCCACTTCTGCAGAGAGACAAAACAGATGGAAAAAAATTAAATCATCTTTGTCACTTTTAGAAAACGAAGAATCCTCGCACACTCTCTGATTTATATCATTTCCTGCTCAGAAATGATGGATATCATCACAGGAGGTTCATGAGTAATGGACTGAGTCAGACCTGGATTACAGTACTCACATGAGTGCTTACTACACTCACAGTGGAAAAAAAAAATCACAGTTCAGCCAGCCACAGTGCACAACAGCCTAGCATCTCACAAGAAGAGAAGTAATTTGTTACTGAGCCCAGCAGTGAAGGGCCGGCACTTTTCCACTTCATTATACATTTGAGGTAAATATTATATTTTTTACTCCACTACATTTATTTCATAGCATTAATTTACAGGTGCTTTTATATTATGATGAACTGATAAATTGTGATGCACTGTCATAAATTAAATTACCCAAGAGTTAATAATATAGGCAAAATTAACTCTACCTCATCCAGCTACAATAGTAAAATGCTACATATACAACTACATCAGTAATAATAATACATAATAGCATAATACTCATCAGTTTTGACTTTTAATTTACATGTAGGTGTTAGTGTTTCTGTGTTATAGCCCAAACATTTTTTATATCAGATGTTGACACTGACAATACATTACTACAAAACACATTTTACAGTCGATAAATGAATTTGTCAATGCTCTCTTGTGAACAATTTATGTAATGGCAACAATATTTTTTAATTATCCCAAACCAAGTTTGGCATTTCTGTACTACAATTCATTAATTATCAGCTAACATATAGATTACTAATATACCAGGCAGATGGCTGCCTCGGTTCTGTAACCGGAAACAAATTCCTCGTGTGTAACAGACATGGCCAAATAAAGGTGATTATTAATGCTCCATAATTAACTGTAAATGTACAGTATAGTAACAATGTACCAAGGTGTCTATATTCTAATGAGAAGTGACTTTATTCCCAAAAGGATACAAGTTCATATTCTCACCCCTGCTGAAAAAATGGTATGAAAGAGCTATTTCCTATTGTTCTTCTCCTAATGTCTATTTATGATTATCACTAAATCAGTTACTGAGACATGTACCTTCATCAAATAGCCAGATTAACTGCAGCTTTTCCTTACCAATGCACCTTATCATATTTTGCATTGTAATAGGTTTTCCACTGAGTAACAAGACAACTGAGTCTGTTTGGTTCTCCACAAATTGAATCGTCTTTTCCTTGCATACCCCGCTGAACAGGACGTCTGTAAATCATCAGGTATGAGTGATTTGTTTGTCAGCCCACTGATTAAATAGCTAGAGCTGAATTTAAGCCAATAACAGAGCGTGAAAGTACTAAGTCCAGAGCTCTGGAGCCACATGGAGGCTTATCAAAGCGAGGAGGTGAAAGAGGGGTTAATCTTAAAATCCTGCAGAGGGGAGAGTGAGTCTGTGTGTATGTGTGTGTCACATAGTGTAAACATGACCTGTTACATATGTGCATTTGTGTGCAACACAAAAAAGAGGAAATTAAACAAGACTGAAAATGTTAACAGTTTAGTAACAATGATTAGTTCACTATGTTGTGCCACATGAACCTCATGCTGATTCATAGCAAAGACCTTCCAGGTATTGCATTACGTTTATTCTTGTTGGACAAGTTTCTAAAAATATTTAGGGCAGCAGTGGACATGATATTGCTAGCAAAACACACAGTAATGAAACTCTTTCAGGATTTAAGGCTACAGTAACTCCCTCTTCCTGCTCTGCTATGTCCAACTACGCTGTGCCACGCTCTGCCCAGCTCTTCAGAAATGCCATTATGAAATTACTGTATGTGAGAATGCAACTAAATGTACTCAAGCAGAAATAATTGAACATCTCTGACTGGTCAGAGGTCAGTCCTGCTCAAAACCTTTAGAAGCTAATATCTCTGCACTGCTGCTAGTGCTTTTCAATGAGTCTGGGTCACAGGAGGCTTCAACGGCACCGCTCCACATTAAGACAAGTTCTGGAGCAGATTTCTACAACAAAAATATTTGAAAAAAGTTACATACTGTAGCTTTAACCAAAAAATAACATACAAACGTTTAGTGAAACTCACAGCAAATGTAGAAAAATTGCTCCAGGCAGCAGTGTTTGGGGAAAAGCCTCTGCTATATTGGTGAGGGGATGCCATGATTGAAAGGTGTCCAGTACTGAATAAATCACTTCAGACTTATGTCAATAAAACGCCACTTTGGCTTGCTGTAAAAATATATCTACTTTTATTTTTGTAAAATGCATGACAACTCTGTTGTTGCTCAAAGAGTTAAACACTTCTGTACTTGAAACACTCAGAACAGAGAGGCCAAGTGTTTGCTTATTGATGGGCAGCTTCCCAAAGAACTGCAATGGGCCTGCAGAGAGATGAGAGAAGTCTTGCACGTTCATACACATGGTTCGAGTTAATAACACACTTGTCAATGTCATTAATCGACCATGTGGCCAACGTGGATCCACGTGAGATGTGTTGTTTTTCCTTTATAGGAACCTACCGAAACCTGTCACATGTTCTGCGCTTGTTTCCAATACACTCGACCCACATTGGAGGTGGGTCCTGGGAGCTAAAGGTCAGCACCACTCAGGAGGTAGTATTAGCACGGTGTGTAAACACACAGCTGACTGTGCACTGTCAGGATGGGCCACATCAGCCCCGGAGGCCATGCTCGGTGATTTTTAACAGAGGTACAGGGTATACCGCTCGCTAGGTTCCGATAGTGGAAATGCAGCAAAAGAGGAGAGCGAGGAGGGAACAGGGTGGGTCTCAGGTCATGGGAGCGCTTGTTTTACTGCATCTATAATGTCAACTGCATCAGTAAGGCCAGTCAGACAGGCTCAGCCTCCTGGCGTCATCAACAGGCAGGCTGCTCAGTATCTGTCCTGGAACCACCACTTATCTCTACATCTCTCATGTCTGAGTTCAACACGGTGACTGGCACATCAAGGACAAATGGACTGTTTGATTCCACAATGAAACAACCACTTGGAAAAACAAAGCCACTGTTGACATGACTGATGGCGGTAGATTAAAGCGAGTCCCGTGTCTCTTGTTAACCCTTAGTTCACAACACAAATACACAGGAAGGCCATTTATAAGAAATCAAATGATGCTTCTTATGTCCTAGAACTTTCAAAATGTAGTTGAAACACTACTTCCTCTTACCTGTCTGGGTTCTTTTGTATTGCAGGGCTCCATCTTGACCTTTGACCCAGCTGTGAAGGCTGAAATAGCAAGGCAGAGGTCCTGCTGCCGGATCAGTGGCTCTATCAGCTCCCATCTCTGCAAAACACAGAAAACCTGGTAACTGAGGTGGCTGCTATCATCTCAATTAAAGCTCTGAAAAGGTTTTTAAACTCAGAGGACATACCTAGATGTTTTCATGGGATGTTCATGGGAACCTTTGCTTTTATAATCTATAAATATGACATTTGGCTTTAGTGCCTTTCAGGTTTGTTTACTAAATTCTCATTTAATGACAGTAAATGATTTTCTCAAAGTGCCACCATGCAATAGGTTCTGTGTAAACACAAGTTTCCTCTGCTAACAAGGTAACAACTGTGCACAAGACATTTAATCTGTATGCATCAAGATTAATATAATGGTAAAGACATAACTGGTGATTCATGTGACTAATAAACTGACTTAAATTAAAGTTTAACATGCTGTTATCATCATGTGATCAGTTAACCCAGCAACAAAACAATGACACACAGTCATTACATTTTGCATTCATTTACATCCTCACTATTGCTTGGGCTCCTTCCACAGACGTGCACAGTCTCTGTTCCTTCCACATAACCATGTCAGCATGTTCACTGTTAATATACCCTCACATCAGAGTCACAAGGTAAAATCCTGCACATTTTTTAAATATTTTCTGACAACAGTTCTGTTTCTAGTGGCAGACTCCTGACCTGTGACTGTGGCCTGTTGGTTCCGATGCCTCTGCACTCTGCCAGGCCCAGGTCGTCGGTCCCATGGGTCTCCAGACACAAGCCACCTTGTTTCAGCACACTGGACACCGCTTCCTGCTCAGGGACCCTGAAACAAGTGAGCCCAATCAAATGTCGTATTAGAACAATGAAGAGCAGATGGTTTGAACTGACTCGTTGTCATACTGAGTAATCGAATCGCTCCACTAAGTAACCCAACCTACTGCAACATGTACTGATATAAATATACAATTACATATTGATAAACCACAGTTATTTGGAAAGAAGCCATAGAACAGATACAGGCTTCGCTTGAAAAACAAGTGGGTGGGATACACACAAACCATCCAAATCAGATTTAGGCTACTGGTTCTGAACCCCACAGGAGAAAAGAAAAAAATCAATTCCAACTGTATTTATTATAGTCAGTTTTCGCTAAACCTTTCTTTTTTCTTTTGAAATGAAATGGTTTTAAATTATTTCTGCCTCTTGACCTCCTCCAAAAAATACTTTTTAATGGCATCTGAAAGAAAACCTTGGCTCTGTGTTGTGTTACATAACAGCACAAAATCAATAATTAACCATTTTAGAAAGGCCACAGATCAGACTCACAGTCATGGATGGCGAACTTACAAATTTAAAATTCCCCTCAACCTAAAATGCATTCTGATTATTGTTACTTCTTTGACCTCGACTGTGCAAAGTCTGACACTCTCCTTACATTCACCTGCTGAAGTGGGAAGATTTCACACCTTAAAGTGCAACTTAACACCAGAATGCACAAACAGGATTATGTGACATCTTAACTATAAAGTTTAAAACCAGTTTGAAAGTTATACCAGTACAATGTGGAAACATCCAGCCAAAAGAGTGACAACGTGGTTTTCACTGACCTATTGGAGGCATCTTGTGTCCAGTTGTTAAACGTTTGAAATGAAAAACATTTTCATGTTCATAGACTGTGGATTTTTAAACAATTTTATGAATTATATTTGAAAAGTACTTGAACTTTTTCTTAGGAAACAATATCAGACAAAATATTATTGCAAGCAGATTATTTTTCTGCATCCTAAATAGTTTTAGAGGTGATCTGTCAGACAACATGAACAAACCAACTGAATATGAACCACAGTGTCGTACCTCAGCTCAGGATAGACGTTCTCCATATACCAGCGGAAAGGTTTGCAGTTCAACTTTCGCCGCAGTGTCAGGCGATCTGAAATGCTGCATTAAGAAAACATTTGAGGATGAAGTCAAAGAGTAGGTGCAGAGTTGTACTAGTAAACAAGATACAACATAGAGAGGAAGAAGAGAAAAGGGGCATTAATAATGGATATTTCCCTCCGTTTTCTGACATTTTATAGATAACATTACTAAACTATTAATTGTGAAAACAATCAAAAATGACTCAGTAATGAAAATAAATGTTAGCTCTATTATCACTAGAGATTATTTGTTACATGTTTGTGCCAATGATGCTTGTAAAATGTCCTATGTGAGACCTAACATAAAACCTGAGGAAGAAGTTCTACTGTGAATGAAACCAGACTTGTATCCGATGTCTGTACTGTACAATGACAGAGAAGGATGACAGAACAACAGACGAACCTGCCGTAGGCTTTGCCCTGGGCTGATGGCCTTGCAGAGTAGTAGTACTGCTTATACTCATCCATCCACACCTCAGCAGCCCGTCGGGTGTTCCTGCATAGACACAGACACAACAC